GTGTTGGGGGAGGCTTCCTTGTCATCTCTGGTGATGTTATTACTGCTGCTCGATCATACAGTATTGTATGATCATACAGCATTGTAAAGTCATTAGACACAGCAAAGATTTGTTCCCTTTTCCATTTCCTTAACTAAGGTATGAGAAGAGATTTTTCCTTACTCATTCTAGTATTTCTAGCATTCGGCACAGTACATGACACAATGCAGGGGGAACTTTCTAGGTTGCAGGGCATGTGACTAAATCCCCGAGTCTGGCTGCAGTCAACAGAAAAATATCACTCTAAATCTCACCAGTTCTTCCAGGCTTCCTCAAGCCTAGTCAAAATGTGTCCCCCACATGCGTCACTCCCCAGGAGATTACACTGGATGTGGATAAACTTCATCTCTCTACTCGATGCATGTAAATCTCTGAGGATGCACATGGAGTGATCTAAAGGAGCACACTCTTCTCCACATGACCTGAAACTGGAACATACCAGTACTTACTAAATATTAGTTCAGTGAAGAAATAACTCGCATAATTTGAAGAGAATACATTTATTACAGTCTTAGTATCAGCCAGACATGCAAGGATGCTCGTTTGTAAATCTGTGGTGTTTGCCATCAGAATTTTTGTAATATCTGGACAAATAGTTTACATTTTTTGGTACATCTCTTAGTCATTAAAATATTTATTTTCCATTGCTTTTGGTAAGGCAATCCTCTTAAATGGAAATAGCAGTTGTGTAAGAAATGCTTACTTGGAAAATGAAGATTCAGTCGGCTGTCATTTATGACTACATACATGTTTTTTGATTTTAAACATCAATATAAACATATGAGTGAAATATATTTAGAAATATTGATAATTGAGTTAACAGGACATATACAGGGTGGTAATAAAGTTCGTGTGCAATTCAAATAGTTGCAACACAAATTTTATGGCCATCTTACATATGTATATGATATGTGATAGCATTGAACAGAGTCTTCTTGGAAACTGTATATTTACTCCAGTAAGTTGCTATTGCTGAAAAAATTTTAGAGCATGCCTGTTGAAATTGCTTTTGGGTTGGGCGTATAAACCACACAATAAAGTTGGTCATACTTAATTTTTGATCAAAAACAATATTAACCAATGTGGTTACCCATTTAATTCACCAGCTGAATACTCAAATTACTTTTGACAGTTTCCAGAAATGCATTTGACACTCAGATGAAGTTGTACTACCAATGACGACATTTGAAATGAATGTGATACAGGCATGAAGGGTGGGCAGGGAGTGAGAAGGAGCAAGAATTTAAGATGCAGGTCAAGTTTTGGCAAATAACCAGATGAATCCTACAAAAATTAAAAAACCACTTAGGTCCACTAGAGCCTAGCCATCGCCAATGCTCACAGAAAGTTATTAATAATGCTTAATAACTTAATAATAATAATGCTTAACGTAGTAATGCTTCTTTCAGCCTGACGTCTCCATCAGTCCCAGACCTCTTCTCTTTCTCTACATTAGCATCACAACTTGAAACATCACTTCCATGTCCTTCTCTTCCATGCCTGCAACTCCAGCTTGGAACTTTTCCTTCAAATCCAGAGTCCTGTGTATAACTGATTGTTCAACTCTGGAACTATGATAGGCACCTCACACTTACTGCTCCAAGTCAAACTCCAGATGACTGTCCCTCTAAACCTGCTTCTTTTGTAATCTTTCTCATCTTCGTCCTCCTAGTTACTCAGGTTAAAATCCTTAGAATCATTTTGACGCTTCTCCTCCTGCAAGCTGCATCCACTTTATCAGCAAATCCGATCAGTCTACTTTCAAAATAAATGCAGAATCCCACTGCCTTTCACCTCCACTCCTACCACTGTTGATTCAAGCCACTGTCATCACTTACCTGAATTGCTGCTTTAATTTAACAGTCCTCCATGCCCTTATTTCTTTATAATCTCTTCTTAACCTAGCAGCCAAGATGTTTCTTTGAGAATAAAACTCAGATCCTGTTATTCTTCTCTTTATACCTCTTTGAGGAAGGAGTCTCAAATCATGGAGTGACAGCCAATGACCAATGCTTGTTATTGACCTCTGAGGCCCTCACCTTCTGCCCTTGACCTCTCCAGCATCACCTCCTATTGAAGACTCCTTCTATCACTCCATTCCAGCCCCATGACTTCCTTGCCGTTCCTTGAATACAGCATGTGTTGCTGCCCCAGGACCTTTGTGTCTGCTACTCTGTTCATGTCAAATGTTCCTCCCAGTCCCCTGCCTCAATAGTCTCTGTGGTTCAATCTCACATGTCCTAAATAACCCTATTTTACTGTCATCTTTTCAGTAAAGTCCCCTTTGACTCCCACATGTAAAATCACAATGCCACCCCTCTCCATTGTCACTTCCAATTTTTCTTTTCTACTTTATTTTCTTTTCTCCCCTGTATCACCATTGTAACTCTGGGTATACAGACCATGGCCAAGTACACAATAGGTGAACAGTGAATACTTTGCCCAGTGAAAGAATATAAATTACTTTACCTGTGAACAACTAAAACTAGGATTTTTCTCCCCTTCCAAAAATTGTCATGCATTGCACTCTTCACGGCTTCTTTTAAATAACTATTTTATTTCTTCTGCTTATCTGAAAACAGAAATGATATTTTAATATAAATGACATAAAATTCCTCTATAAATTTTCAGTGTATTTTCTTTGCTCACTTCTAGTTTTAGCTAATTGTTATTTATTTTTTGGTCCTTTAGTGTATTCACATGCCAAAGTAATCAGACTGAAGGAGTAGTGCTTGATTTTATATTAATATTAAAATGAATGA